GTCCTCTCGGAGCCAGGGTTCTGGAAGGAAGGAACCAGGTGACTCTAGCAGTCACTCTCCACTGCCCCCACCTCTGCAGGTGAGTCATGCTGGTCCTCAACTCCAAAGTCCTTGGGCTGGGGGAGAAACCTGGAGGTTCAGACAGCTGGAAAACACCGTATCCTCTGCAGAGGCAGTGGAAAGGACAAACGTGGGAGTAAGATCTGGATTTGAGTCTTGCTTCACCTAATGGCTGATGTCGTGAGCAACCCAAGCCAGCCGGACTCTGTACACATGGTAAAATAGGAGTTCTCCATTTGGTCGCCTCCTCCTGCCCTACTCCATGGTGTGGCTAAACCCCCGGGCTCCAAGGCCCGTTAGTGCCTGTGGAGCAGTGACTGGGGTCTGCGGGGGTGTACGATGGGCAGTAGGAAGGTGCTGGCTTGGTGGAAAGAAGCCAGCATGCTCAACGGGTGCCAGTTGCTCCCCACCAGCTCCCCTCTTTCTCAGAAATTGTACCCAGATGTAGTTAGAGTCAGCTTCTGCTCGGCTGGGGGTTAGGGAGAAACAGCCAAGGCTGGAGCTAAGGGAGCAGGAGGCAGGTGGAAGGGCTCCTCTGGCTCCCCTGCCCCAAAACCACCATGGGTCAAATGAGGACTTGAGGGGCTTTTATTGGAACCACGTGCATTGCAAGAGGCACTGACGGGCCTTCGGGACTCAAAGGTGCTTTCTAATGGTGGGACAGCAGGATAGGGAAGGACTCTCCTGAGGGCCAGGCCCATTCCTTAGGATTCAGTCTCAGTAGCAACAACTCTTAGTGGGACGGTGGTTCTCAACCTTGAGGGCACATTGGGGTCAGGTGATGATTAACAGAAAATCCAGATGTCAGAGACTCTGATCTCGCAGGTCTGGGGTGTGGCCTGGGCCAAATATTCTAAAATCTCTTCCTCTGGGTGATCTCATGCCCAGCCAGGATCGAAGACCACTAGCTCTAAGGGCAGTATCATCCCTTCCACTGACAGATGAGGAAACTGAGGCCTTGAGAGGCTGAGTTACTTTCTCAAGGTCACATGGCAGCATCAGAGCAGGGCCCACACTCTCACCCTGGGGCTAGGTGAGGGTGGGACCTTCAGGAAAAGGGCTGTTCTAGCTGTTCTCTGCATCCCCCCAGCACCACCCCTGCACACAGTAGGTGGTCAAGGACAGGCGGTGGAGAAGAGGGGATGGAGGGATCCTGCAGGGGCTGGGAAAGCAGAGCACCCAGAGGGGATATGGGTGTTTGTGGCTCCAGCCCTAAGCAACATGTTACCAACTGGGCCTCGGTTCCCCAGCCGTAAAATGGGAATAAGCGTGGGTGCCCAGCCCTTCTCTGAGGGGAAGTGTGAGGTGCTGGGCCCTCTTGAGGGGGTGGCAAGGGGATAGGGACCTGCCAGTGTTGAGTGACATGCTGGTTAGGGGAAGTCATGTGAGCAGAACAGAGTCTGCTGCTCCCTGGGGTCAGCTGCAGGAGGCCCTCCCCTTCCTGCTGCCTTTTTTGGTGGCTGAAACCTTAGACTGATCCCGGAGCCAGACAGGCGGGCAGACAAGCGCATTCTTTTCAGGGGAGGCCCCCTCTTTCTCTCACTGGAAGTAGGGAGGGGGGCAGAGCAGGGCCTGCCCAGGCCTGACCTCAGACTGGATTTCAGGCTGTGGGGCTCAGCAGGGCTCCCTGGGGATCTGCAGGCGGTGGTAAGGAAAGCCCCAAAGGCTGCAGTCTGTGGTTTGGAGTCCTGTGACTCTTGGAGCAAAAGCCACCAAGTGGGAGGAGGTGGGAGGGAACTGATTCAAGAAGCCCCCTGGGCTTCCAGCTCCAGCACTGGCTATGGGTATTTCTGCACTGTTTCTGGACAAATCCCTGCTTGCCCAGCCTCAGTTTCCCTAGTGAATGCCCCAAGTCTTGGCATCACAGGTGTCAAAACAACTGGAACCTGAGCTGTGAAAAAGGCCGTTTTCAGTTTTCAGAAAACATCAAGGCCCATTTCACTGACCCGTGTCCCCTAAATCAAGTGAAAGGCGGGTGTGATGCACGCATGGGCTCACTCCTGACAGGGCAGAGCTGGTCAACTTTTTCCTTTTAAAAATGTGCTCTTGGGGCTGGCAGTTTCGTTCAATTGGTTTGAGTGTGGTGCTAACACCAAGGTCCAGGGTTCGATCCCTGTACTGGTCAGCTGCCAAAAATTAATAAATAAATGAATAAAAAAATGCACTTGGCATTCTCACAAAGGAACAGGGCTGGATATGGGTCTCGCTATACAGGAAAGTGGGAGGCAGCTTCCTTCCCCTGCCCAGCAGGCTGACAAACTTGACCCAGGTCTGTCGTGGGCCATCAATTCTTTTCACTGGTATGTGTGTGTGGGTGTTTGTGTGTGTGTGTGCGTGTGTGCGTGCGTGCACGTGCCCATCTTAGGTGCCATCTTGGCTGCCAAGTCACCTCTGGGGGAGCATTGCCTTTTGGGGAGATGGGATGGCCCATTGGAATTCAAATCCTGAATTCTGGACATTAACTTTGAGAACTCCAAGTTCCTCAGAATCTCTGTACCTATTTCCTGCTCTGTGAAATGGAGCCAGCAACAGCACCACCTCAGAGGGTTGCTGTGAGGAAGGAATGAGACAAAGCCACGCCTGCCACATACATGGTGAGGGCTCAGAGCTGGCCAATGGGATCAGCTTCCTCAGCATCCTGCAGGCAGGCAGTGGCTCTGGAACAACACCCTCTCTAGGCCACAGCGGGACTTCCTGTGGCCCTTTCGAGGCTCTGAGAAGGGTGCAGGCGCTAACCTAAGTGCCCTCATCCCAGTCCACACTCTCTTGGTGGCTGTCAGGGACAAAAGTGTATTCAGAACCTGGCAAATGGGGACTCTGAGCATTTGGAAATAAGATCTCTGAGCTCTAGGTGGTAGAGATGTGTGATGACTGTAAAGGAAGTGAACAGTGACATAAACTCCATGGGGCTGCCGATCAGAGCCGCACTAATAGTCACTGCATAGGCTGTGTCGGCACCGTCTGGGCATCTGATGGGTATTAACACTTACTCCTCACGTCACCCTTGAAGTAGGATGCACCATTTTATTATGTCTATTTTACAGCTGAGGAAACTGAAGGGTACAGCAACGTCAAACTGCAAATGAACAGGGCTGGTCTCTGCCCAACAAGGTACTGAGCAAAGAACTTCACATTAGAGAATTTAAGACAACCTCCAGAGGAAGCAGGAAGCAGAGAAGGAAAAGCAACGGTGGAACACAGCTGGCTTGAGGGTGGGGTGGAGCTCTCTTCTGTGGGCAGGAAGGGGTGGGTTTCAAGGCACTGAGAAATCGTCATACTATTTCCTGACTGTGGTGGACACTCCTGAAGTTCTGTCTGCACAAATCTTTGGGACTTTTCTAAACAGATGAACCTCTCTCATTCAACCTGCAAGTCTTCACTAAGGATAGTAACATGTTTCACTGAAGTCTCTTGATTTCAAGGGACGTAAATCCAACTTGAACTACTTAAGCAAAAAGGGAAGCATGTTAGAATCCTGGGGCATGGTGACACCTCAGGAAGGCTTCCCTGACAACAGGAACTCATGCCAACAGGAATCTCTCATGTTTCTGCTTCTTTACCATAGACCGGCTTCCCCCATGGCAGAAAATGGCCCTAACAGAGCCAGGCATGTCATCCCATAGTTCCCACCACCAGAGGTGTCCCTCCCTGGACCAGCCTGCCCAGGATGGTGTGTGGAGCCTTGAAGAGAGGGGAGAATGGAGTGAGTCAGGCGGACCTTCCCTGTTCCACCCCCAGGTCCACCAGAGCAGGGTAGGTGATTCCTGGCCTCTGAAAACCTGTATGCCACCAGGAATCTCTCATGTTTCTGCTTCTTTACCATAGACCAGCTTCCCCCATGGCAGAAAATGGCCCTAACAGAGCCAGGCATGTCATCCCATAGTTCCCACCATCAGAGGTGTCCCTCCCTGGACCAGCCTGCCCAGGATGGTGTGTGGAGCCTTGAAGAGAGGGGAGAATGGAGTGAGTCAGGCGGACCCTCCCTGTTCCACCCCCAGGTCCACCAGAGCAGGGTAGGTGATTCCTGGCCTCTGAAAACCTGCTTCCTAAAGGTCTTACGGGGTCTTGCTGCCAGATGCCGCAGACAAGAAGGGACTATCCTCCAGTTCACTTACGCAGACATTTATTGAGCACCTACCAAGTGCAAGGCACTGTGCTAGGTGCCATGGGAAATACAAAAAGTGAACACAGACGGTCCCTGCCCGCGAGGAGCTCACAGTCTAGAAACGGAGGTCAGACACAGTACACAATCAGCTGCGGCAACATCAGCCAGAGTGGCAAGTGCTGACAATGAGACACAAAATGCTGTGGGGTCACAGAACACCAGGGGCTGCTTCTGGTCAGCAGCACTGGGCAAGGGTACAAAGAGGACTCAGGGCTAGGCCTTTGCAGAATGAAGCCATTTGGGAGAAGGCCATTTCTAGCAGAGAGGAACACACACACAGACACAGGCCCGCAGGCAACCGAGGGCATCTGTGTGGCTGCAGTGAACATTTGGGTTGGGGCTGTACAAAGGGACAATCAAGTATGGCTGGGCGGCAGGCAGCCATGAATACTAGGCTCATGGGAGTGTGAGCTTGACACTCTAGTTAAATAGCCATTGAAGATCACTGATCAGGAAGAGGGGTGACTGGAAATGTGCTTCTGAAAGATAAATCTAGCAGCACTGTGGAGTCTGGAAGGGAGAGGGGAGAAGTGGCTGGCAGGTAAGGGACCAATGCTCAGAGGGAGGCTGTGAGAGCATGACTGGAGGGCGGTGGTGAGTGAAGGACAAGGGCAGAACAGGGGACCCCATGGACGGTGGGTAGTAAGGAGGGACAACAGATGTAGGCTGAGGGTCTGGGGAGTCTGAGGATTCCACAGGGCTTTCAGGTAGGATGGAAAAATCATTCCTGAAGGGCAGGGCTAGAGGTGGGATTAGAAGTCTCTGCAAAGAGGGGACAGTAGAGTTAGGACCCCTGCACGTGAGTCCAGTATCTCAAAATGTGGTCCATGGACCACCCACATGGGAATCATCCAGGGAGTGTGCTGAAGTTGCAGATTCCCAGGCTTTACTCCAGAGCTTCTGAACAGACATCTCTGGGGGATTAAAAATGCAATCATCTGCATTTTTAGCAAGAGTTGCCCTCCCCACCATGGGTCCTCTAGGTGGTCCAAAGTTTGACAACCACCTGTTGAGAAAGGGAAGGGTGTTAAGGAATATGCTTTAGGTAAAAGAAGGAAGAAGAATGAAGAAGGTCTGAAAGTGATGGAAACCTCAAAAAATAGGGAAAATAAAGTTAATGGTGTCACATGCTATGGTCATTGAGTTGCACACTACTATTAAGGATTGCGAAAAGACTTCTAAATTTGACAATCAGATAGTCCCCGATGACTTTTCTAGATGACTGTCACGTGGTGGGGTGGAAGCCAAGTTTGCAAACTGGGAAGTGAAGAGTGGGAAATTGAGGGAAAGTATTAGTTATAAAAAAACATAATTCGTAAGGGGAAATCAGGCTATTTACTTTCATCTAAAGGCTCTGAGATATGTGGACAATAATGCGGAGGTAAATAATGAAGAAATGGGGGTGAGTCAGAGTGCCTGACTGAACAAATCAGTCAGGAGATGAGAGGAGATGGGCTCCGGGGGACAGCGAAGGGAAAGACAGGTGAGGACGAGGAAGTGCTGATGAGAGGTGGAGGTGCGAAGACTCCAATGGAAGGCCACGTCTCGGCAGTGTGGGAGGCAGGCAGGATCTGCGGGGACGGTGGTGCCAAGGCCCACTGTCGGCAGGCCAGTGCCTGCAGTGACAGCCCTTGTGGGGGGAGGGGCTGGATACCTGGTGGGGGTAGAAGGAGGCTAAGAGCACTGTGGAGAGCATGGGTTTCTGTGTGTAGATCAGAGTCCTCCGCATTCCACAAGTGCCACAGCAAGCCTACATGAGCACACCATACGTCCTCATTACTGCCAAAGCTGCGTCAGGCCTGAGTACCTGGCAAACACAGCCAAGCCTGCCCAACAGTGCTGACCCATCATCCAGGATGGCTGAGATGCCTTCTAACTCTGTTTTCGTGACTGGCAGCCTATAGTCTCAAACACAGGCTACTCAACAGAAAGGTCAAACGAGTCTTTTTCTCTCCCAGAGGTGGAGGCCCGGGACCTAGGGAAGAAAGGACACCAGCAATCATTCAGCTCCCCAGCTACTTATTCTCTGACCCTGGACACACTCTGGGAATCAGACACCTCACCTGTTCAATGAGGGTGGCATCCTCTGCCCTGCCAGCTACTTCACAGCAATGCCATGAAACACAGGATGCAGAGCCATGACGCACAAAAGCCTGAAGGAGTTACAAGCCATGGAAGCATTACTGCCAACACTCCTAAGGTAGCAGCAGAGATACCTACTGCATGAGGTATCTATGAATACTTACTTAGCAGCAACACTGAGCCTAGTACTAGGAGGAGGCTGAGAACAGGTAAAGAGCCTTTTTTAATGGCGTGATAACTTGGGTTTTAAATGTTAAATTTAACCAAACTTGATGGATTTCAGGAAGAGTTGTGCATTGTTTCATGTTATAATTTATAAAGGTAAGTAATTAATGCTTTTCTGTACTCCTCCCACTTATTCTTCTGCATCCTTCACTCCCATACCCAGGAAAAAGGCAGGAGACAGGCAGTTTTCTCATAAACACTCCTGAGAACACAAAGGCTTACAGAACTCAAAGGTGAAGGGTCAAGCTGCTTCTAGAGCCTAGAAAACTTGTGATCCTCTCAGCCTAGCCAGCTCCACCTGGCATCATGGAGGCTCAGCCTAGGCAACCAGGGAGAGTCCCCTATGTCTCTTCTCTAAACCAGAGGAGAAATACTGAATTGGCAAGGCTGCTGGACTCGACCTTCAGTCACAAGGTCAGAGTTCCTGCAGGACAGCCCCAGTCCTGACACCTCTGCTTTTGAAAACAACCAGCTGTGAAGCCGAGGCACAGGGACAGTGATGAAAATCACCTTTCTGGCTTGCCTCAGTCTTGTCCTTCTACTTCCACAGCTGAGTGACTTGGCAACCTGCCCAAAACAAAAATGACAGCTGACAACCAATTCCACGTTAGAGTGCTTCATCCAGGCATCCAAAAGAAAACATGATTGAAGTACAAGTCTGGCCAACCGGAAGGCTCTGGACTCATCCCCCAAGGGATGTAGGGATCAAAGAAAACCAAGAGAAAACATGCCTGGCGGGAGCATCCTGGGATGTCATCCAGTCTCCTCACCATGAAGAACAAACCAGTATCAAGTCCTCAGGCACTACTTCTGGGAGGCTGGGAGAAGAGACATGATCCACAGGGCAGATAGGAAACTGACCGTGAGCAACCTGGGGAGAGCACAGGTATAAAATACAAAGCCCTTTGAAGGTTCGAACAGTAAAGATGTTAGGAATTACCCAGGAAAAGAACTTCATTGACACAGAATTTGGGCAACACTGAAAAAAGTCAATACCAAGATATCAACTCGGAGAAAGAAAAGGCTGTTTAGGAGGACACTAAAGAGATAAACACAGGAAAAATAAATACAGGGGTTCTGGGACCCCCACGGAGGCTACTAATGCTATATTTATCGGCTTGGGTCATTCTTGAGAATAGAAAACCGTTTTTTTGGCAAAGCTGTAGAAACTCTACATTGAGGCATATGCCATGGTTGTGGACACAGGATGGCCACAACAATGGGGCTGCTCGATGAACTTCCTCACACCTCATCATGGTCTTCAGAGGCGAAGATGTGGCTTCTAGAGTCAAGTCAGGTGAAGGGAGGCCCCAGCCTGGTGCGTATGTCAGAGCGCTGGCTGAGGAGTCTGGTCCCTGCCCAGCCATCCCACAGCTGTGGTTGTGGGCATGTCCAATGGTGAACCTCTGGGCCTCAGTTTGCTCTTTTGTAGGGTGGAAAGGGAACAAGTGTGGGACTACATGAACTCTGAAATTTCTTCTATCCCTGATAATTCTGAGTCTAACTTTGCCCTGGTCATTAACAATGGCTAGGCACAAGGTGCCATCTAGTGGCACTACTTGTCCACTCTCACAAATGGCTCCAACAAAAGACCCCACAGGAGCAAAACAACTCCTACGGACTCATAACTCCAGGGGTTGAGGGGAGAGGAGGCTGGAAGGGGTGAGCACTCTTCACGTTAGGGGATGTGACATATTCATCTCAAGAAAATATACTTTAAGAGGTTTTGCTTTCCTTAAGAAAGCAACCCTTTTTTATTTAGAAAGGCGAACCATATCCGTTTGTCAATATTTTCAGCTTTAAGGAAAATAGTTTAAAAAACATAAAAATGTAAGTACACTCAAGAGTAACTGCTATTAAACAGTTCTGAAAGGGCAGAAAATGTAGATTTTCCTTTTACAGAAAATGTTAAATCTGTAACAGCAGCATAATTTATATATAGAAAAAAGCTGGTTTTGAAAATCCAGATTTTTTTTTAATACACAAAACATGTTTTTGTTTTTTTTTTTTCTCTATACAACAGCGTTTACACTGTGAAGTAGGTTTCTCCACATTATGTTACTTCCCATCATCTACAGACAATAGCTTGAGTTTGATCAGTTGGCCCTGAGTAGCAGCATAATTTATATATAGAAAAAAGCTGGTTTTGAAAATCCAGATTTTTTTTTAATACACAAAACATGTTTTTGTTTTTTTTTTTCTCTATACAACAGCGTTTACACTGTGAAGTAGGTTTCTTCACATTATGTTACTTCCCATCATCTACAGACAATAGCTTGAGTTTGATCAGTTGGCCCTGAGCTCAAGCTTCTCAGCACGATCTTCAATCCAACACCATGGCAGACAGCGCGTTCAGGTCTTTCATGAACGGATGGGCCACCAAGATCTGGTCAATTTTCAGTCTTTGCTTTGAGTCAGGGAAGATCTTCAGAAGGGCTTCTCTCAGCTCGTTGGTTTCTGCAGAAGATCTCTGTGCTGGAATGGGCAGATTCTGCTGGATATTGGGAAGGTTTGGCAGGAGTGGGAAGTGGGGCTTCTGAGGAAGCCAGTGACTTGGAGGAGCTCCCTGAATCCGGGTCAGAGGCTGGTGGCTGGTGCTGGCTGCCTGGGTGCCAGGGACTCTGAAGCTGGGGTCAAACATGCCCACATTTGGCAGGGCATTGAGAAGGGGCTGCATATCTCTGCAAATGGAAGTGAGTCTTGATGAGTTGGGTAGTACGATAAATAAGAAACCCTTCTAACCCACTGCTGACCTTGAGGCTCAAGATGCTATTCCCTGGCTTCCAAAGGCAAGGTGCAAGACTACAGTAAAGGTGGTAATGACCGCTGCCTACTGGAGCCCGCGGGGATTCCAACAGTCCCATCTCTAGACTGGTCACAGCGGGGAATGAGAACTCCTCTTGAGCTGGAACCACCCTCCCATGTCTGCTGCTGGACTGACTCCCCCCAGCTGTGTGGCTCTAAACCAGGATGTGCCTGGGAGCTTTCAAAGGACAGGCATAACAGGGTCCTACTATTCTGAGGTTCTAACTCTGCACAGGGCCCTGGCTGAGAGGGATCAGAAGGACCCCCCCCCCAACTCTGGGCAGAGAGGCAGTCCCCACCACCTCATGGACTCACCTTCCCCACCAAAGTCTACGTGAGGTACTGGTACCCAAAACTTGTATGCACATAGGTGTGTGCAAGTATGCGTATAGGGAGGGCATCTGTGTCATTCAAAAGCCTCCCATCTGACTCTGGCTTGAAGCCGAGAAATGGGGCTGGCAGAAAAGTTTTCCCAACTTCAAAAGCTCAGCTAACTTCAAAAGTTAGTCTCTCTGTGAGGAAATGATTACTGACTTCTTAACCAAATTAGTTAACACCTTTGTAAAGAGCTATTGGGTGAGAGGAAAAAGGGCAGGTAGGACTGACCCTGTTATCGAGCTGCTCAAGGAGCAGGAGGAAACAGAATTCTCCTTTTGCTAAGTCTGACCCACAGGCCTGATGCCCACACACATGCCTTAAGTCCTAAGGCCCCAAAGAGGATTTCCAAGTTAAGATATGTGGAAGAAAAATGAGATGGACTGACATGCAGTAGGTGTTGACCAGGGAGCTGAAATCATGTTGGTCCCCTCTGCAGAAGATAGCTCTGTGTGAAGAAAACCCCACCACCACTCACTGCTGAATACAAATCTAGAATCCCCAAAGGCCCCTATTACAAGTGGAAAAGATCAGCTGAAAAGTTTCAATGCTGAGAGAGCTGTGTGACTTCTTTTCAGTTTAGACCCTTAAAACATCCCTATGCTGGGAAATATACAGAAGTGTAGCCTGTTTTAATTTTTGTGTGTGTGTGTGTGGCAGGCTGGTTCAGGGATCTGAACCCTTAACCTTGGTGTTACCAGCACCACTCTAACCAAGTGAGCTAACTGGCCAGCCCCATTTTAGTTAAAAGAAGAGAAAAGTTCTGTCACTGGGTTATATGATTTGTTAGTTAGGCACATAGGAAACCTGAGTTAACAAGTCTGTTAAATGAGCATTCTGAAAACAAAAACAATCACTAGCAATGCATCTTAAAAACAAATGAACAAATCCAAACTACAACAAAGAAAACCTAAACTATCAAATATATTTCAGATAAATATGAAATACTGGCTTCTCTATTCAGCGAAGGTAGAAAGTAACTGTCAGTTCCCCCAAGTAGTGATTCTTAAATAGTAAATAAATTAATATAAGCATAACATATTCAAAGCAATTGACTTTAGAAAATGAATATAAAAAGACATTAACAACACATACATAATGAACCTAAGTAGCATTTGCTAATAAGTAACCACCAGCTTGGAAAATCTTTGTTTTTTTAGACTCACAAAAATATTTGGCTCCCCATCTCCTAGTTGATTAAAACCAAAAGGACCACAATTGAAAATTTGGTATTTTGGGGGCCGGCCTGTGGCTCACTCGGGAGAGTGTGGTGCTGATAACACCAAGGCCCCGGGTTCGGATCCCATATAGGGATGGCCGGTTAACTCGCTGGCTGAGCGTGGTGCTGACAACACCAAGTCAAGGGTTAAGATCCCCTTACCGGTCATCTTTATAAAAAAAAAAAAAAAAAAAAAGAAAGAAAATTTGGTATTTTGGGGTGCATACTTGATTAGCGTCTACATACATTACACCAGCACTAAATCTAAGGCTTTTTAAAAAAAAAAATTAAATGCCATTTTTAGTCTTCAAAGACAGCACTTGCACAAAAGCACAAAGAACGTAAACTTTTAAATACAAGACAATCTGAAAAAGGAAATACCTAAGAAAGACTTCCTTCCGAAGAAATTCTTCTAATCGAGGTCCACTTCTTCCCAGAGGATCATCAGGAACCATAAATATGTCCCCCACAAATGTATACTGAAGCAATCTACAACATAGAGAATAATCACAATGCTGGAGAAAACACTGTCTTCACTTCTGCTGGAACTGAGAAGTACCTCAAAGTAGCTACCTAATTCCAAACCAATGGTCAGCCTATAAAGCAGCCTAAGACTGCTTAATTTGCTTGAAGAGGGAAAAATCCCACACGTGCCCACGTTAAACCATTTTAATATTTCTCTCCTTTGGACACAAATACAATAGTGTAAGAAATGTTTATCAGATGGCTCTCACATTTCTTATCAAGACTTTCAGATTTTTATCTAGGCATGGGAAGCAGCAGCTTCTCCTAATATGATGTTCAGTCTAACTTTGAAAAACAAGACTTAAAGACTGTCACCTTAGGACACAACAAATTCCTGAATGAAACTGTTAATAAATGTATCTATAGGCCCCACTGAAAATAACCTTTTTTAAAAGGAAAACAATATGACATAAGAAGAAAGAAAATCTGAGGTCAGTAGAGCATTATCAAGTTTGAATCCAGAAAATGCAAACAAACAAACAAGTCCACGTTCCCATATTTGTTGTCCAGATCTTGTGAATTCTGAAAGCAATGAGTTAATTTGAGAACTCAAGTCTTGACTGCATTTAAACCCTCCATGCATACACAGATGAGTGTCCAATAAATACCGACAATGAGCCTAGGGCAAAGATCCCACAGAAACATGCCCCAGAAGATTAATGGCTCATTTAACTGTTCCCAGAAGGTCAAAGACCGATTCTTTGTTTAGCTATCAACAAAAGCTTTTTAACAGCACATGGCTTCTGGGTCAGCCCGTGGCTCACTCGGGAGAGTGCGGTGCTGATAGATAACACCAAGGCCACGGTTCGGATCCCATACAGGGATGGCCGGTTAGCTCACTGGGTGAGCGTCGTGCTGAATAACACCAAGGCCACGGTTCGGATCCCATACAGGGATGGCCGGTTAGCTCACTGGGTGAGCGTCGTGCTGAATAACACCAAGGCCACGGTTCGGATCCCATACAGGGATGGCCGGTTAGCTCACTGGGTGAGCGTCGTGCTGAATAACACCAAGGCCACGGTTCGGATCCCATACAGGGATGGCCGGTTAGCTCACTGGGTGAGCGTCGTGCTGAATAACACCAAGGCCACGGTTCGGATCCCATACAGGGATGGCCGGTTAGCTCACTGGGTGAGCGTCGTGCTGAATAACACCAAGGCCACGGTTCGGATCCCATACAGGGATGGCCGGTTAGCTCACTGGGTGAGCGTCGTGCTGAATAACACCAAGGCCACGGTTCGGATCCCATACAGGGATGGCCGGTTAGCTCACTGGGTGAGCGTCGTGCTGAATAACACCAAGGCCACGGTTCGGATCCCATACAGGGATGGCCGGTTAGCTCACTGGGTGAGCGTCGTGCTGAATAACACCAAGGCCACGGTTCGGATCCCATACAGGGATGGCCGGTTAGCTCACTGGGTGAGCGTCGTGCTGAATAACACCAAGGCCACGGTTCGGATCCCATACAGGGATGGCCGGTTAGCTCACTGGGTGAGCGTCGTGCTGAATAACACCAAGGCCACGGTTCGGATCCCATACAGGGATGGCCGGTTAGCTCACTGGGTGAGCGTCGTGCTGAATAACACCAAGGCCACGGTTCGGATCCCATACAGGGATGGCCGGTTAGCTCACTGGGTGAGCGTCGTGCTGAATAACACCAAGGCCACGGTTCGGATCCCATACAGGGATGGCCGGTTAGCTCACTGGGTGAGCGTCGTGCTGACGAGTGAGCCACGGGCCGGCCCAGCATCAGATATTTAAAAGTAGCATTATTTTCCCTTGACCCTCAAGAAGTGAAAACCCAATCAGCATATTGCTTTTGGTCCTGTCCTCTTACTAGAATCACAGTGTTTCGGGGCTGGAATGTCAGCTGTCACGAAGTCCAACCTTCACTGCACAGCTGAGTGATGTAGGGAGGTCCAATGACCTGCCAAAGTCTCCCACGGCACCAGGGCAGGGCTAAATTGGGTGGGGGCCCTTTGTGCTCCCTCATAGTTAACTGCACCACAAAACTGGCTGGTGTTTCAAGCAAGCGAACGCTGATCTCTGAGAAGACAAAGCATGCCCACACACATCACTTGCTGGCCCTGTTTTTTTTTTTTTCCAAAAGAGGATCGGTAAGGGGATCTTAACCCTTGGCTTGGTGTTGTCAGCACCATGCTTAGCCAGTGAGTGAACCGACCATCCCTATATGGGATCCGAACCCATGGCCTTGTTGTTATCAGCACCGCACTCTCCCGAGTGAGCCACGGGCCGGCCCTCGCTGGCCCTGTTTTGTGCTGGGTCCTTCCACCTACCTAGAGAGGCCAACCACCCTGTAGACTGGGAGTATGGCACAGTCTTACTATACTGTGGTACCCTGTATTGCCTTCTGCAGGACCATTGTGCACATAAAATAAACAAAATGCAAACAAAAACAAACAATAACAAAAAACTTCTCTGAACAAAGATGAAGAAGAACATATTACCTTTTTGTGATAATTTCTCGCCAAGAAACTGACTCAGTCACAAATTCTCTGAAGTTATCATTGGTTACAATTATGCCACCAGTTTTGTCTGCTAAGTGTAGTAGAAACCTATGGTAATATAAGAGAGTTCAAGATAAACAAACAGGCATCCCTGGCTTAGAGAAGCCGTGTTATAACAAAATAAAAGGATTTCCTCATCACAGGAAAATCACCAAAGAATTTAACCAAGGCTGGGCAGTAGGAAAATTAAGCCCCAGTCAACTGAAGATCAATCTGAAATGGTGACTATCTCTGAAATTATTAGTGTCATCATAAAAGAAGAACTGTTTTTAATACAATTCAATTCTTTTTAAAGATGATCTTAGCTATATACATTTTCAATAAACAGTGGTAATAAGAATGCCTAAGGACCAGAGCAGAGCAGAGAATAAATTAGAGTTGACAAGCCTGTGAAACCACCATTCAGTTTTTAGTTGCTAAGTTATAGTATTTTGGGTCTAAGATTAGCTGCTTGTTACAGTCACAGTCAGCCTATCAAATTTTTTTTTTTTTCTAATTCACTGGTCCGTATTTGCTGCCCTGATTTAAGAAGAAATGTCTTGAACTGCCATTCATTTTAGCCCAAGTTATAGACTCACTTGATTGGCAGTTATTAAAGGATACATGATGAAAAGGGGCAAAAATTAAATAGTAAAAAAGAATTCTATTTCATTGCTGGAGATTATTCATGTTCAAACCCTCTTAATAAGAGAATCATGAGGATAAGATGAATTTTATTCCTTTAGTCAAGATGACCTCATTCGTCTAAGGCAATGTAGACAAAGATAATGAAATAATAAATTAAGAGAATCACTGGAATTAACAGTGCAAACAACTGTTTTTATCAGTAGTAGTAAGTACTCAAAGGGGATTTAAAAAAAACAAACCTCATTAAATTCAGAGGTGTTAGGATACTTTGGAAAGTAAATATGACTTAGTTCTTTGGACTTATTAGTAAACATTTTAAAAATTACTTCTTTTTTTTTTTTTTTTAAAAAGATGACCGGTAAGGGGATCTTAACCCTTGACTTGGTGTTGTCAGCACCACGCTCAGCCAGTGAGCGAACCGGCCATCCCTATGTGGGATCCGAACCCGGGGCCTTGGTGTTATCAGCACCACACTCTCCCGAGTGAGCCACGGGCTGGCCCCAAATTATTTCTGAATAGCATGAGTTGTAAGTGGTGATGTTTGCCCAGAGGTATTAATAAAAATAGGTAATAAGGCTGCTGAGTGTATGTACTAGGAATTAGGACATACCCTTATGTCCTATAATAACCCAGAGAGCCATAAAAATCAAGCAAAAGCTTAGTCTGCTTTAGTACATGGGTTCAAATTCTGCTGGTGTAAGAATGAAGCTGCAGTGTTAGGACCTGAAAGTTTTTCCTGAGCCCAGCAGCCCAGCGTGCCTTTTGACATGAGCACTCCAAGGTCTGAACCCTGTGTCAGAGGGCTGAGCAAGAAACCCTCCATGCCAGCCTCCCAGTACTTTTCATCTATCCCCTGGCCCCCACTTGCCGTCCTCTTTCAGCTCTTCCCACCCTATGTATCCATCTCTGACTTTTCCCATTAGATTTCGCCTCTCGAACTAGCCTGGTGCAGGGCAAGGAGTCTTCAATGAGAAGGCCCTTTTGGTGAATGAGCATCTCCTCTGGTCCTAAGTCCCCTTCCCTCTGCCAAGGCCTTCTTTTTATCTCTTAACCTTCTGACCACCACTCACTAGCTTGCGTCACAAGCTAGATACTTTGTTCAGTGGGGGGAGTGTTTTGGTGGAACACTGAGGTGAAAACACCAGGGGAGCTATAAGTGCTATAGGCCAGATGAAAATAAATAGGGTAAATGCAGAAGATAAAAGAACAAGTAGCCATCACTTAGGTTTCCAGATACTAGTAGACTTGCTACTACTGATTTTACACTACAAGGGGAGGATTTTAAAAGCTGGTCCTAATGCCACTGGTTAAGTTTGGGACCTTCTCTTATTCAGCAAAAGCAAAACTCGCCTCTATTACTTATTTGTGTGCCTTCTCTTCTAGATTGCAAACTCCTCAGGTCAGAAGGTGCACCTAAATCACGTGCTTCCCTGGAACCTAGCTTTGTGCGTTGGACTTGGTTAGTGCTCAGTAAAGTTTTTTAGAAAAAATTTTAAAACGTGTTGACTAAATCTTGATGTCACGGATGTTCTAGCACCTGCTTCCTGAGTGACATGCCAACCTAAGCTGAGATATCTTCTATTGTGTGGAGGAAAACTGAGAGCCCAGGCATTACAATGACAAAATAAGTCATTGGCCCAAAACAGAGGAAACAGACAATATTTGAAAACCATGTTCAAGGCTGCCACACTAAGAGAAGACATTACTTTTAGCATGCAACAATAAGACCACAACTAAATATGTGCTTTTACTTACAGATTCCTAGTCATGTTTTATTAAAAAACAAAACAAAACCTCTAACTTATTGGGTTCTTTTGTGATGTTCCTAAACCCATTCAGCAAAGACCATCAAGCATATAACATAAATGACCATAAATATTAAAATTCTCAACCCCCCGAGTCAAGTGAGTCCTTTATGAGTGTGAAGATTGTCTCTTTACCATCCCACTCCCATCTTAGAAAGGAAAACAGCCTTTCATACCTGTCATCATGAGAAGCAATTCTTTCTCCAAAGACCATCCGGGCAGGAGTTAAAGATAATATTCCAAGCTCCTGGAGCTGGGTTAAGAAGTGCTGTTCTGTTCATGGAATAAGTTGAATACACATTCAGAAAAAGGCTATCTTCCCAGATGTGTAAATCAATGAAAGTACACCCAAATGTTTCACTTGGAGAATAGTAGGAAACCTTTTTTCTACTGACTCAATTTTACTAACTCACTGGGAAGAAGAAGAAAAAAAAAAAAAAAAATCAAGCAAGACCCATATTAAGGCAAATGCAATGTATGAACTGACTTATAGCTATTTTTTAAACATAAAGAGGTTCAACTCATTTGCTTCTTAAATTAAGAAGAGTAAACCATAAGCCTATATTTAATGAATTCTACCATCAAGGACTTTCTCAGAGCCATATTGCAAGCAGTAGAAGCCAAAGAGAATGATGATAAGAGCTCCTGAGAGAGGGTGGGGGTGGGAGCAGGGAAGGGCCACGGGAGTAGAGGCCCGGGGAAGGACAAAATGCTTTGCCCCAATCCCAAGAAAGGCCTGCTTGGTTACTACTACAAGAGTCTGTCAAAACCTACCTCCAGTTGGCCTCCTATCCAGCTTCTCTTAGTTGTTTGTACAAATGATTACTGATTTTCATGGGAGTGGGTGGTGACAGAGGAGAATGGAGAACCAAAGTCACATTCTAGAAAACTAATAATGGGCAAAAGAAACTAAAAGCTCAGGGTCTGACAGTCCCACATCTGCATTCCCTACAACGGTACTAACCACTGACTTAAGCTGAAATGCCAAACACAGTGTTTTATTTTCCTAGCACTGCACAGTATATAAGAATTATAAGACTCTTCTTTCAGGGATCCAATTGCAAAAATAATTACAAAATGAGTGGATCTGCTTCATTCCTCCTGTACCTTGTTGGGACAATATGTTCTTCAAAAGAGAAGTTGGGAATATGTGGGAAATGTGTGGTTTTACCATTTCTACCTCACTAGTGACTAAGTTTCACTTCCTGTTTAAGGTGTTGGGCAAGTCCTCAACTCACCCTCCCTTCCTCCAATCTTCCTTTTATTTCAAGTTACTCTGATGAGTTAAGCTGCCTGGCACAGCCCTTTCACCTGTCTTCCTATCAAGATTTAAGTAAGACACAAACAACCTTAAATTTCTCTAGAACATTTCATGATTCATAGTAAGTTCAAATTGTGTGTGCCCGCAGGTCAGCCACAAAGTGCTACACGGTTATCAGAAATGATTTATATTAAGCTATTAAACAGAGTGTTAAAAAGACATTATACAAGGGCCCTTCAAAAAGTTTGTGGAAAAAGGAAACTAAAAGACAATACAAATCTTTCTATTAACTGTTTGAAGACCTCTCATAGTTGCAGGCACCAAATTTATCAAGTGACTATTTTCAAAAATACTACTAAACAGTTGGAAACCCAGCCTAATGAAAAGACATTTTACTTTTGAGAAAGTCAAAAGAAAACTTTTGTGAAATGTAATAAGCCCTAATATAACTTTGTGTATCAACAACTATGTTCACACCATTCCTGCAAGTATATCTTATGCTGTAACTCTCTTCAATTGATAGTTTACTAGGTGCAATGGATTTACAATTTTGTTTTTAAAGTTGCTGCCCATGGCATGTGTCGCTATTCTAAGTAGCAAGTATTGCAATTATAAGTCAACTCATTAAACACCTGATTAGAAATCTGGAAAAATCAGCTTGTCTCACCTGTAACATTAGGATCACGCCTTGTTCTCCACTGCGGGACAAATACGGTAATGTTTCTGTTGCCAAGCTTCCAAAAATACTCAACTGCAATTGCAATTCCACGACAAGAAAAGAACTTTTTCAGACCATGGCTATAAGAAAAAAATAAGTACAATTCATTTCAGTTTAAAGCACATTTATAGCAATATTAAGTTTCAACATAAAAAGGTAAAATCCATAAAAAACAAAAATAAGCACAAAATTTCCTTTTCTTTTACATTTTTTGGCTTTTAGTTGTATAGTTTGCTGCTCTGTAAAGCCAAGACAGAGCTCATGGTAGGATCTGAAACTCTTAACAGAGTCTTATGATTTCTCTTGTATTTTGTTTAGTTGACTTAATTGGGTTTGCTGTCGTGGCAGAAGGCAGTGAGCTTCACGGTAATATTTGTTTATTGCACTTTTATTATTTTTTTTAAAAGAGCATTCTATTGGGGGAAAAAAACACTATTTCTAAGTCCTGTCTGGTCATTGGCCTCCAGTTGACTTAATTGGGTTTGCTGTCGTGGCAGAAGGCAGTGAGCTTCACGGTAATATTTGTTTATTGCACTTTTATTATTTTTTTAAAAAGAGCATTCTATTGGGGGAAAAAAACACTATTTCTAAGTCCTGTCTGGTCATTGGCCTCTGAGAATCTTTCGTGAATTTTATTAAGAAATTTGTTGCTGAAGCAGAAACAGTTTAGTAGCTGTGATGATGCCTATTCCCTGTGCCTGCCTGTGATGAGGAAAAGTATAAAGGTGTGACATAGTTATGACCACCACAACGTCCAAGGTTGCTGCTGCCTCCAGAAGTCTTCATCCCTTTTCTGTGTGACTGCAAAACCTACGCAGTTTACAGCCTAAAGGAAACAAGTCAAGGGCAAGACTCAAACGAAACTAGCTGGGGGCCATGAAAGGTGATGTTGTTGAATGAAGCAGAAAGCAGAGAAAAAAGATAAATAAGAAACAGTATAGAACACGGGTTGACACACTTTTTCTGAAAGGACCATATAGTCTCTGTCACACCACTCAACTCTGCCATTATAGTGTGAAAGCAGCCACAGACAACTGTAAATGAATGAATGTGGCTGTGTTCCACATTTACAACAGATGGTGGCCTGGATTTGGCCCACAGTTTCTGACCCCTAGTATAAAAGATTTTAAAATGCTCCCCCGACCAAACTGATAACACATTTCAAAAGAAAGGGACAAAAACACTTAAATTAAATTTTATTCTCCAGCACTCAGATAAAATTGGAGGTCTTAAAAAAAGTGTTTTTTAAAAGTTTGGAATACTACAGGTGGTAATCTATCTGTCTACTCATAGGTATTAGAAAGAAAAAAAAGATCAAAATCTAATGACTGTGATGCTACAATTTATGTATGAGATTAGTAAAATCTATTGTCACTGTTTTAATGATCACCTAAACACCAAGGACAGTAAATTCTACATCTTCAGTCCTGTCTTCTCTCTGCATCTAGTGCCACACATCAAATTGCTTCGTGGATATTTATTTCACTTGAAAGTCCTACCACCTGAGGCATAATGCACCCCAAGTTAAACCTAGGCTCTCCTAATTCCAACCAATCCTGCAAACTCCAGTTAGACTGACCTTTAAATGTAGCCACAAGGCCTTTGATTACGCTCAGGGCCTTCAATGGCACTATTCTTCTACACACATCCTCTGCCTGGCTTCCAGGTCCCCTCCTCCTCTGACTGTCAGAAGAGATCTGGCAAAAGTGAACCTCCCACAACCATATATCACCACGCTCTTAGTCTTGGCCAAGTAGTCTTGCCATTTCCTTTTGCTGCTTTGAGTGCAATGCTCTTGCAACCTTCCCTTGCTCCTTCAAATGCCTTCGGAATTCAATTCCAGTCTCTCTTCCTCATGAAGCTGTCTTTAGACACAGGCCCTCACTCAGCCCCCCTTCCTTTCTCTGACTTCCTATCCTGTACTGCGTGCCAGAATCAGAGAGGAAATGGAATTTACATTCCTGTTAGAGATAAAAAGGAGACACTTAGAGACAGAGGAACCTGCCCTGTTGCACAGCCAGAGGGTAGATGAGCTGGATCAGACTCAGGCTTCCTCACTCCTGGCCACTGCTCTTTCCACTACCCCATAGTGGGGTTGTCACCCCAACTGCATCTACGTTTCTTGACATGCAACAAATATCCAATGTGGTGTGAGATTTGGAAGAGCTGCTTATAACTTCCTCTTTTTAGAGGCTA